ATATGTCTGCAGCAAATACGACAGAATTAGGTTGTTCTAACTCTTAAAACAAATGTAGCCGACCAATCAAAATAAACATAATGTTTGTTGAATTTGAGACGAATTTACGAATTGCTTGCTACCAAGTATTATGCTTTTGATTAGATTTCCCATTTTGACTAATTCTGATGGTGATTGAACAACCGTAGATCACCTACAAGATATTAGACTATTGGAAAGTGTCTTATGTTGCTGTAGTCAGAAAATGATATGTAGAGATGCCACGTAGTTCAGAGTTGATGTTTTTTCTTAATGTTCGAGTTAGTATGTTTAGTGTTAAAATGCTCAACCTCAGGAGTGTTAAGTTTATGGTAATAAAGCTTAAATACCAGCGTTCCGAAACTGCATTCCATCCACTTCATACATAAATGCCACATCCTATCGACTGATATTTGACTGGTTATTTTCAGAGTCATCCTAAAAATATTTCAAGTGCGTTGGTATATTTTCTATTTGAAAAGCTATGGGAGTTGACCTAATCACCAGACTGTTGATTACTCACGAATAATTTCTGAACTTTTCGAAAAAAATTCTAGTTGAATATATAAGAAAAATTCGGAGTTTTATATAAAGGATATGTATGTCTTAGTTTATATGTGAATAGGATTGGTTGTACCATCTTTCTTTTCGTTTGAACAGATGTGTATGTCTGTATTTACTCATGTGCGCATTGGCGCTCGTCAGCATACTGAATTTCTTCCATGAGTATTTTTCGCTTTCATTTTAATTCAGTATTCTTTCCTTCCACCAAATATACGGGAGTGACTCAACTGTTTAATTGGAAAATTAATTTCATTTATTGAAATCAATTGATGAGTAGCCTGGTTTTTTAGTCTGGATATTTTACTATGTATATTTTTCTCTACCCAAAATCCATATATATATATATATATATATATATATATATATATTGCAAAGTCAAAACAGCAGGAAAGTATTACCTGCAATGATTTATGCTCTCATTTGTAATGAAATGAATGTATTTTCAGCCCAACCTGATTAGTATGCTAATTCTCTCTCGACTTAACAAAAATCATACAATTTATTTCTTTTAGTTGATCTGTTAAATATACCAGATACACCCAAATGAGCAGTAACTATTTCTGTGAGCCTTATGTGAAAGGAATTGTGACTATGGTTAAATCTAGAGTGGTGAGAAGCAAGCCAAATGATATCATGAATTGGAAATGTTTGTACACTCCATCTAGTATTACAGAAATAATCATTTCCAGTGTAAGATTACTAAGTAGCTGGTTATGCAAAACTATTTGGATGCAAGTTAATTGACATGGTTCGAACTTGGAACCCAATGGCTATGTTTCAGTCGGTTAACATAACCTGTTTTATTGTAATGATGCTAGAAACATTTTATATCTCTATTAATTTAATTAACGCTTATCCTTTCATCAGTGTTAAGTATTCATTCGCAAAAAAAGAACGATACAATCACATTGATTTCATTATATTGAATGACTTTTATCACTGCTAATCTTCTCTCTTTCAAGAATATCATTAATAAATAACAAATATAGCCTTTCTTTTATGTGTTACCAATATGTTTATATTGTGTTGTTAGTTTGAAGTGTGACCGCTACAACCAATTGTAATTTATACCATACATTGTAGGGTTACTAATGAGTAGTTCATTTGTATACCACATCATATTTAACCTGTTTTGCTTTTTCAAATGAACCATTGATGTATCTATCTGCTTTGTACTGTGTAATTAATTATTTGATTTAATATAAGGAAATAGTAAACCAATAAACTTTTATCCCATTATAAATTATGAATGAATGCTTTTCGATTGCATACATTTGATGAATGTTTAAAATAAGACAATCTATCCCTCTTTTACTACCGAATAAAATGTTAATTAATTAGATGTTGATTTGTTTAAATTTATTATCTAATTAGTATTACTATCCAAATTAATCAAAAAAAGTACTTTTTACGATCCATAAAAGTTTTTTTCAATTTTACCATGATTGTACATAGTTTTTGAACAAATCAGTGACTAGCGGAGACGTGCATTGTATCTTGATGTAAGAATGCTAGGGGAAAACAAACCAAGACATACTATGAGCCTACAAAGTCTATGACTGCTGGTTAGAGTCATGTAGGTAGATTCAGTCTACCTGGTTGGAGTCCACGTGATAGTTATGATTAGTGTCTATTGTCTTTAGGTGACATGGTTTAGAATCGTTCATTGTGACGCGAATGTATTCACACCTTATTGTCCCCTCTACCTTGAGTTATCATGCTCTTTTGTACACAAATTTTCCACTCAGTCTTTTTTGCGAACCACTTTTTATATACTTAGTCTATGTCATTGTCATTGCTAATACATTATTCCAATATCTTTTACCATACTTTTTGATTTCATCCCACCGTATTGGTATTCTATATCATTTTGGATGAACGTATATGTGTCAGGCTCTATGTTGATGTTGACTGATTGTTTATAGTAAACTGTCAAACAAATCACTTTATTAGTAGTTATTTACCAGTGATGTTAACAATCTGAATATAGATAATGATTTTCACACATGAATTCTCTATATCGTTGTCTTAAAACTACATCTCACTACCTCTTTAGCGAATTTCTTAATAATGATCTTATTAAAAAATAACGAGTTTACTATAAAATTAACCATGACTGTTTGTTACTTGCTATAATTTGTAATAATTTAACCTTGAGTGCATTTCAGTAATATATATATATATATATATATATATATATATATATATTTGTTTTCGAAAAATAGTTTGGAATAATTGTAAACAATAAATATCAAGTTGTTTTCTATGACCTTATTAAACGTGCCAATGTTCTGAAGAAATGTTTGCCAAACTTAAATTTAGACCGGTTTATGTTTTCAATGAAATTCAATAAAGTCAATACATTCCATTCGTATATAGTCCTGTTTTGTATTACACTCTTTGTATGTGACCAGGACAATGAACACTTGAATTTCATCAATTTTTATTCATGTGATTATTTTCATATTATGCCTATCTAGATTAACTAAAAAATGCAAAAAGAAGTTTGAGTTACATTTTACCGAATAGCTAACTTTGAAATTGTCTTTCTATTGAATATATGACTAACTCGCTGAAGTTGCAAGTTTGTCCAAATACTTCGCATTATTTCAAAAGTCTAATTAGCTCTAACTAGTTAATACCTGACGATACCACTTAGGTTTTACTATTTTGTACCATTTCCTTATCAAAGAACAAGTATGATGTTGTAGTATTAGACTTTCTAATGCTTTACAGCTATGAAACACGGTGTTTGAAAATTAGAGACATGAGTTATTAAAGCTAGATTATAGACGTCTTAAAGCATTGTTGTTGATTAGTAGAATTACTGAGATCAATTCTGTGGGCGAACGTTGATTTCTAGGGAAATTCCCAAATCATTTGTTGCCGCTTCACCAGATCGACGTGTTTAAAACATACTTTACAGACACCTCCCTTGTCTGTTCCAATGCACTATTCTGATCAGTACATGAACATAGATGTTGCCTTCCCTTAAAGGAAGGATGGGGTTATAAAAGTTCGATCCTAAAAATTCACTTCTTGCCTTTCCTCATGGAGTTTAATCTCTGGCGGTAGGGTCTCAATAAGTACAGAACTAACACGAAAATTACTCACAAAAAGGTCGTGTGTGACCGGCCTCAAGCAGTTTTCCCTTGGGCACCGCGGTCACGTTCTTAGGTCACTAGAATCAACTCTAACCCAATTGTTTTTTGGGTACCTCTAGAAGAACAGTTCCACGGTGTGTGTAGCCGGGAGGTGATAACCACCCTCATACCTCTAACAACACTCAAGTTCACTTTATTCATAATAAATCTCTCTCTTCAATTCTTATTATTCCTCTCACTCCGACCTTCAACTATAAATATCCTCTTTTGCCTGCCTCTTTAAGCGTCACCATGGCCAATAATTCTAGTGTGCGAAACACTCCCAAGTCTACTGAAACCTTCCTTAGATATATCTGGATGTATTTTCCTCAAAACTTCAAGTCTTATCATTGTTCCCAACTTTTAAGATTTTATTCATTATTGCTATATTCCATTTTCCTTTTCCAGTTCAGTTGTTTTCATCACGTTTCAACATTTTTTTCGTTTTATTAATTTTTCAGGATATAATGTTTATGAACTTGAACCGACACATTCTTATTATGTTCGACATCGTTCACAATTGACTTATTAAAAGACTTCTCTTTTATGAGAACTATATTAAGTCAAGAACATGTGTAAACATGAAGAATTCTCATCATCGTCAGAATTATACGCAAAGTAGGACCTGAAACATTTATACATCGGTCCACATTTCCCTGCAACATTAATACAGGGAGATAAGATTATTTCAAGACAAATCCTAGCTTATTAGAAGTGGTAATGGTATCAGCTTTAATTTAAAAAGATTCGGTGTCGAAAAAGAAAATAAGTATAGCGAGACATCGGGACCCAAATTTTAGAAGACAAGTAACTTATGCTCTCTCTCCCTCGTGTATGTCAACTTCCACGCAATTTAGATCCCGCGTTTCCTGTCGAACTACCTTCAACTAGCTAATCATAGAACTATGCTAATTTGCTTTCTCGTTCTGCTTTTCTTCATTTCATGTTAATTATTATTTGTAAATAAACTGAACTACTCAAGCAAATGAATTATGTGGTAAAATTTAAATTAGAAAATAAGTAAGTAATTTTAGCTTTCATAAATAAAACAGCGTAAATTGCAAATTGTTTCAGGTGGATGATGAATTCAATTATATTTGGCTTTAAATATATATATATATATATATATATATATATATATATATATACTATATTTATCATATTGTGGTTACTGTTGTTGTTTTTACCCCAGTTTTTGTCTCTCGTTACATTCATTTATTCACCGTTCTTTTCTCCCTTTTTTTTCTCTTCAAATCAATACAAAATCAAATTCAGTTGTTGTACATCTATGCGCAATCACTAAACAACCGAATGATCCAAAGAAAATTTTTCAACCTCTTTTAAATTGTTTATTTACACAATATGATAATGGTGAGTTTTGTGTTGTTTAACGTTGTATTCTTTGTTTGATAATTTGTAACAAAAAACCATTGAGAACTAAAACGGTTTTTTTTAAAAAGATAATTTTCATTTCTTAGTAATGAGTTGAAATGAAACTTCTCGATGTCACTGAAGTAATCAAATTCAAATTATTTAATTGATGTGTTAAAAAAAACATTTCCAATCTAATCATTTACAGTAAATTGTCACAGATATTTGTATGAAAGATAACGATGTATAAATAGATTAAAATTAATTGACTTCAATTGAGAAAACTGAATAAAATGCTTAGATTCTAATAGGTTTAATTAAAATTTCTAAACTAATTTGTTTACATTAGTCTTGTGACAAATAAAATTCCCTCAGTTGTTTAATTCTAACAATCATGAAACCGAGATAATATTTTGTTAACCACCGTTTATGAACTACCATCGAGTTATTGAACGATTTAACTCATCTCTCTAATTTCCAAACTATTTACACCCCTCAACTAGATGATCATTTAACATTTCCGTTAACCTCTATGTAGTCATCAGTTAGTATCATCTAGCAGAAAATGTTCGACTGAATAAATATTCATTCGTGTTTGGTGAATCAATAGTTTCACCACAATATCACACTTTGTTATTTCGCACAACTCTAAGTGAGCTGCGTAACTAAGAGATCGTTCATAAATATTCTTTTCTATTTCATAGACCTTTGAGATGTTCCACATTGTATAGTCTATCTTGATTTTGATATTCATCTTTTCGTGTAACTTGAAAAGGTGAGAATTTATCTCGTTCTTTTTATGTTGGTTCTCGTTATATATATTACTTTCGTTTTCTACTTTTTTTCGTATATTAATTATTATTAATTATAAAACAATCGAGGATGGTCGCGAAACATCCTGGATCGATTGATGTTAGACATTAACACCAATGGCTCTCGACCTGATTGTCTAGAGTTTAAGTGTTCGCGCGAGATCATAGGACCTGAGTTTGAATCTCGCGTGTGAGATCGTGGACATGCACTGCTGAAGAGTCTTATACTAAAACGAAACGGTTGTCCATTGCTCTCAGGTTTTCAGTGGTGGTCTAACATTGATCGGTTCATGATTTCAATTATCACGGTGTATACACTCTCTATCAATCCTCAAACCGTGAGATTAAAATCACTTCATATCTTTCTTCCTGTACTATGTCCTTATATGCAGTCTTTCTTTTATATATTACCACCACTGAATTAACCACTTCTATGAATCCAGTGTTCATAATGTTGTGCTAATGAGGTATGGCAACTTGGATCGATGCGCATATATGTACCTGGTCCTATGTTGTAGCTGACTGACATCCAGCAGCAAGTGTTGTGTAAGTTTACTCCCAACATTATCTGATTCAGAAAACGTTACTAGGGCTTTTCCAGGCTCATTTTTTATAGTAGACCCATTTTGATATAAGTGTTAATCCTAATGCATTATATGCGTTACATAATAAGATTCAATAACATCTAAATACTTTCTATTAGATACCGCATTATTGTAATGCAAAGTTCAAACTTACTGCAGAATGTTACAACTCTGTGTAATTATATAGATAGATGAATTTCTCGCTCGAATCCCACAGTTCTTATCTTAAAGCTGATCATCTCGTCAATTTGTTCCAATTTAATGACTTGTTAGTGAATCATAGAGAACGTTTTAATGCTAAATTATATCATCGAGGTGAAATAATCGTGTGGATCACGGAATATGAGTATTCTTTTTCGTTATCTGTTCTACAACTAGACAATTTGGCACAAATCAATTTGTTTTCCTTATTCTTCTGTACATCAAATAACTCAGTGAAATGCGAATGTATTATGATTATGTCTCGCTCACAATTCATTCATATTCACTCTATTAATTTGTTTTTAAATTTTAATATTGAATAAATCATTATTAATAATACTGGTAATAACAGTAATGCAAATAGTAATAATAATTATCATTATGAGTTCGATATATAGTAGATTCAGAATTCACTCTGTGTACAAGGTACTATTTAAACTGTTGGTTCTGATTTTTCAGCTTCTATACACATGTTTATATTCATGGATATATATATATATATATATATATATATATATATATATATATATATATATATATATATATATATATATTAACTGATTCAATATCATTTTTGTTGAGAGTTAAGTTTATATGAACTTTAAACAGTCGTATAATTTTTAATAATATTAAATGTTAATATTTATCATAATAAATAACTTTCAGATCATTGGACATATATTTATTTATTTCACTATTATTATTTTGTTGAGCAAATGATTGACAACGAGAATAATAGTCATATACTTATTTCTCGTTTCACTTATTTTAATAATTATAGTAGGTTAATTGAGGCTGTATCTGTTTAAGTTCAGTAAGATATTTATTGAAAATGAAGAAGTACTGGACAGATGTTTTGTCTTATTATGGAGTGCTTCAACAGTGTGTATCCACAATCTCATCGTGGATTGGATCCAGGACCTTCAATCTCCTGCCAAGAGCTTAACTTCTGAACCACAGAACTGACATTCAAGTATTTAGATGTTTGATTTCAATCAGTTCACGATATTACACAACCATTTCTCACTGGCAATAATGAGTAACTAGCTGCTGCATACTCGACATGATTGAACTTCACTAGCTATGGCTTCTCATTAGAACTCCGGGAATTACCTCTCGAAACCAATCATTAGTGAGCACGTGATCAATAATTACTATCAGGTTTGTAGGGATTGTTGAATTTTGACACCACGAACCGACCCTATTTAAGTAAACATTATTCGTAGTTTAGTATCACAATGATTTTGTATATAATAACTTATCTAATATTTATCATCTATATGTTAATGAACTGTTCTTTTACATATGAAGCTAAATAGTTTGTATACATACATCAAAGATGTTATTCTGTCATATTGTAATTCTTATTGGTGGATATCAATTCAGGTTTTCTTTATTCGTTGAATCAGTAAATAAAGGTAGATTGTGTTTGACTGACAGGTAAGTTTCTAATAGTCTGCATGTTACGCACAGTAAGTGTATCTTTGTATATACAACTGCATCATCATGAGCGGTAGATTACAAAATTATGCATAATATTTAAACGGATATGTTTTAATTCCTTAAAAATAAATGAAATTTATAAACTAGATCAAAAGCTAAACAGTTTGATAGTTGCGGATTACATGATCGACAGATCTGCTTCTTACTGATTTAAACTAAATAAATTATCGGTAGCAATATCATGCATCATAATGTGGAACAATTCAATGTAAAATTAGGCGAGTGCCAGAAATTGTTTTCCCTATATTTATACTCCGACAACACAAGAGATTAAAATTAGTTGTTACATCGAGAAGAATCCAAAAGCTTCGATATTTATTCTTATTTTAGTCCAAAATATTTTGATATGGATTCATTCATTTATAATTATTAATGGAAGCAAATTCAAGCTCCCAACATTTTGACAGCATCTAGCTAGTTTTCTCGTGGTCAGTTAGGTAACAGTGTTATGTTTTCAAAGTATATTTATGATTCGCACTATAGTATGAGACATTACCAGTTTCATTTATAAGCTCCCTTCAGTAAGTTAGCTTAGTTTGTGCCCTCACACATCATTTCTTCCATTTCATCAATTTCGAAAAAAATTCATCTCAGCACCTTAATGAAGATTGCTTTTAAATTCGCTACATCTATACCAGACACATAATATTATCGATTCTAAAAGTTCGTTACTATTGACATCAACAAATTCCACTGTAAGATGCAACAGTATATCTTATCTTCCAACTAATGAATCCCAAGCATTTATAATCAGACATTAACACCATTGAATCCCGACTCAATGGTGTAAAGTTTAAATGTTCTCTCGTGAGACCGAAGGTCCTGGGTTGGTTCTTTTTGCTATCGTGGGTGCTCACCGCCTCTGATGATTCCTATACTGGGACGTAACAACTTTCTTGTCTGTGCCTCCAGGTTTCCACTACTTGTCAAGCTATTGATCAAGTTACAAATAGGTAAAATTACTCCTAGCCACGTTAGTGTAGCTGAATTGTATCATCGTCGTTTTTCACTTTCAATAGGTTAGTCACATGATTATACTGGACTAGTTTAAAATGAAAGTCTCAACCTCATACATTTAGTGGTAAAAAACTTTATCGTTAAGTACACATGTTTATGCGCGTTTTGAAGTAATAAGAACACACATGTTCGTATGCATTTACTCTTTGTCTGTATACTTGTTAATTGAGCTTACATATTGTTGAGTCATTAAATTGTTTTTGACCAAAGGCTGTTTATTTTATGTAGTCTGACAAATAATTTAAACAAATTCACCAGTTAGTATTACTTAAGGGGTTATACAAACATTTTTTTTCTAAATGTTGGTATACATGTAGTATTCAACCTTTGATTGGACTGTGTCTAGTATTAAGAGATGTGTTTTATTTTGAGGGAGTGTGCAGAGCAGCATCTGACTCTGAAAGAGTGAAGAGCAACAGAAAAAGTAAGACGACGACTCATAGGCACATACAGTGTTTAGTTTATGTTTAATTATATATAACTGTAGATAATGACATAAGCGTGGAATCAAGACAATCTAACAATTGAAACTAAAAACTCATAAAAAGCTAAGTTTTGAATGTGTTACAAGTTCGATGTATGTAATAAAACGCTATTCGCTAATTTCATTGCTTATTTTGGTTTTTATTTAATAAAGTGCTTGGTCATAAACTTGAAGTTCCTGGGATTGTATCCTGAATGGCTGTTAGTCAATAATGTTGTGAAGTTTCTCACTTATAACGTAACTGTTGTTCAGTACACTGTGGATTCTAGATATTCTAAAGCTGCTATTAATTCGCTTCAAAACAATATTTTTCTTTCAGTAAAAATCCACATACGTACTGCCAAAATGCTAGTTATATATATCGCTTTACAAATTTGTCCAGCTTTCATGATCTTTTCT